GGCAGCAGCACGTCCAGCACCGCCTCTGCCTCTTCGCTCACCCCGGCCTCACACTCCAGCTCCCACCTCTTTGGCTTCCCTCCGACCCCTCCCAAGGAAGTGTCCCCAGACCCTAACTCCACCAGCGCCGCCTCCCCATCCTCCTCTGCCGGGGCCCGGCAGGAGGACAAAGACAGCATCAAGTACCAGGTCTCACTGTCAGAGGGGATGAAGATGGAGAGTGCCAGCCCGCTGAGGAGCAGCCTTGCCAGCATGGGGGCCCAGCCCTCAACTCACCACCCCATCCCCACATACCCCTCCTATGTGCCAGCCGCACATGACTACAGCAGCAGCCTCTTCCATCCTGGCAGCTTCTTGGGGGGCCCTGCATCCAGCTTCACTCCCAAGCCACGGAGCAAGGCCAGGTCCTGTTCGGGTAAGTGCTGGGGTGTGTTGTGGGGTGCTTGTGCCTGGGGACAGAGGAGCAGGTGGCAGCTTGCTTCCCCTTTTCTGGAGTTTTTAAGCTAGGGAGATAGAGCTTGTTCCAGGCTCCCATAGGTACCAATACACCCACAGTGGCCGCTGAGCCCCAGCTTGCTTGGAGGGTATGCGGGGACCAGTGTGGTGGGAGCCAGCAGATCCACTGCGGCAAGGAGGGATTAATAGGAGAAATTCCTATTTCCCTCGGAGGAAAGCTGGCCTTGGCCCCCCGAGCAGGTCCGGCTGCCCTCGGGCAGTCAAACCCCCATGCTGGTCATGCGTGGGGACTCTGGGCCAGGGCTCCTCTTCCCGCAGTCACTTCCATGGCTTCTCATCAGCGCAAACCCGGCCCGGTGCAGGGTGAAAGCGAAACCACCCCGTCCGGGCCGCTCCCCATCGCCCGGGGCCTGATTCCTTTCACGTTTTACAGGAGCAGAAGTTCAGATCTAGTTTACATACCAGTGGAAGGATGGAGGTGTCGGGCATCGCTACCTTTCCCCAGCATAACTTTAACTAGAAAATACCCTCATTTTTTTTTCACCCTGAACCAGCCATATCTGCTTCCAAACGACTTTCCCATCTCACAATCCCTCCTTGCATTTCTTCAGACCTAAATCTGCAAATTAGGGGATGGGCAAAGTTTTAATCCCCCTCTGAAATCCCTCTAGTTGTACAACTAGACAGATGAATTCAGACAATTGGTGTAATTCTACTCACCTCATGTTTAACATCCTCGACAAGGGAAGGAGATGCACGGCCGAACATCGGGGCTGGATTTAGATAGCCCTTAAAAAAAAAAAAAGGGATATATAAGCTTTGTGTGTATATTCTTGCATATCATTGCACATATATGCTTACAAAGACAGTACGTGGATTTATTTTTAAAGCAGACAATAATTTAGAAATGTGATCTCTTCTCAATTTTGCAACAAAAATACCAGCTCTTGCACAAGCTCCTCGGCTCTGCTTCAAATGGCTCCTCCGAGGGGAAAAATACTCCCATTATTTAAATGCAGTTGCTACTATGTATAGGTATTTATTTTTTATATATATACACACACATAATAGCAACTATGTGTATATATATATATTTATTTTTAGATACATAGTAGCAGCTATGTGTATATATTTATATCATAAATATATTTTAGTAGTGCAGAGAGTAGAAAGTGAAGGCAATTAACAACCCGAGCCTGGAAACAAAGTCGAGAGCCAGGACTCTGAAGATAAAGGGATCTTGAGTAGCTCTAGATTTTGCCCTATAGCTGCCCATGATTTTACTGAATGGAGGAAGCGAGGACCTATTTTTCTTGTTTGTTTTATGTTTTTTTTGGGTAGTGGGATTTTCTTTGGCCATAAGGGAGCCCCTGTGCAAGGAGCTGGGGAAAGTTCGTGACCACTCCGTGTTTTTGTAGGAAGACTAAGGCTCACGACACGCTGACTCCTGCAGCTTCCTGCCTTAGGAGGGACAAAAGCTCCGAGCGCAGCGCCGCAGAGCTCCCCTCATTTTTCACTCTGGACTGTGTTGTTTAAAAGCCACCCACTCCCTAGATTAAAGAAGACACAAGCCCCGCTGAACTCAGCATGGCCTGCTCCAGTTATTAGCAAAAAGAATTTCCTCTCCAGTTAAATACTGTAGGATTTGCATAAACTATATTAAGAGAGATTTCTATATTAAGCAGACCTGCCCTCGAACCATCAGAGGCAAATGAACTTTCAGCAGAAAGCTTTCTGAGGCAGGAACAGATATCTAGGAGGTACATGCTGCGTTTAATACAACCCTGCTGCAATGCCGTGTTCCCCACTAAAACTAATAATGAAGCAGTATAAGGTAAACTGCTCTCTTCCAAACCCAAATGGTGGTGTTGAAAAATCACAGAAGCAGAGGAGAACTCCAAGCCTGTTTTTTACAGTGATTTCCAGAGTGCTTGCTAAAGCTGGACTTTCTCAAAGCTCAGCATTAACGCTTTTCTGCCTTTAGAACAAAAATCACAACTGAGCCTTTGGCATTCTGTATCCATTTCTAGTCTGCTCAGCCTCACTTTCTCCTCCTGTAGCATTAGCAACAAAAAGGAAAGCACAGGGCAGGAGGTCTTTTTGCTTGGATTTAATTCTACAAAACCTCTCCCCCTGCTTCTCTCTTCCCCATGCTGTGTTTGCAGGTGTGTGTGTTTGTGTGCATGTGTTTATGGTGGGACAACACAGGATCTAACATCGGAGTGCAGGGATAGGGGAGGGGAGCAGTGCTCAGCACTAGGCTGGTAACTTCCACCTGACACAACTTGGTGTCATTCCTCACCTTGCAGAGAGTGTTGCCTGTTTCTGATCATGACATAAAATCTGTGCTGGAGTCCGAGCGTTCTCGGCGCTGAGCTCGCTGCTGCATGTGCTGTAGATGTCACTGCTGTCTGATTGTGCTTGAACTAACACGCTGTTTGACTTCTGGAAAATGCCTAAAAGGACAATGCAAAAAGCTTTTGTGAATTTGTTTTTAAAGAAAGAAATCCGGTTTCTTCGTGTTTCCATTTAGAAGGCAGAGAGTGTGTGAACTGTGGAGCAACTGCTACCCCTCTCTGGAGAAGAGACGGCACTGGGCATTACCTGTGTAACGCCTGCGGGCTCTACCACAAAATGAACGGTCAAAACCGACCTCTCATTAAACCCAAGCGAAGGCTGGTAGGTGGCTCTGTTTCTCCTGGTTTTGGGGATCAATTAAGCAAAGGGACCACACACGCAGGCACAACTCAAACATGTCTCAGCTTTGCTCTGCCCCTGCCCGGAGCCAAGCCCCGTGGTACATGGGGTCCAGTACATGGGGTCCGGCATGCTGAGGTCACACTGAGCCTGGGGCCAGCGCTGCCCCGGCAGCCCCCCACAGCCCCAGCCTCCCTGCCGCTCCAAATCTACGCAGGGTATCGTGTATCCAGCTCCCCGTTTGTCCTCGGATGACAGCTTTTAATTTAATTCCTCATTTATTTGTCCTCCTGGGACCTTTGGGCATGCACTGGGAGTGAAAGGGTTATCAGCACAATGTCCTCCACCGGGTACTAAACAAAAAGAGTTCCAGCTCCAAAAAAGCAAAACAAATCAGATGAGTCAAAGCTACTGCTCCTACTTAATAATTATTTGTATAAAAGCCATGAAGTAATTTTCACTCTTATATTCTCTGGCAATATTAGTATTAGTTCCCTCCCCAGACAATCCCCTACTGTTTAAAAAAAAAAAAAAAAAAAAAGAAAACCCATTATTTTTCCATGGAGTCACCTACACTTTGTATTTTCATTTGAGTGATTTTAAAAAAAAAAAAGTCCTTTCTAAGCTCCTGGTAGTAGTTTCCTATCCGGATATCTGCACGGCAAAGATAAGGAAACTTTGTGTATCTGTTTCCTGACTCTAAAAGCTTTAGAGAGTTTCTATAGGCGAGCCTTGCCAGTCGTGCTTGCTGTTTTGAAATTTCTAATACACTCTACTCCACAAATAATGCGTAAAATGCTAAGAATAATAAATATATTTGTTGAAGCTTTGTGATTTATGGTGCCCAAGTCTCTCAGCTCTTCATGGGCACGTTTCAATGAGGTTTGGAGAGCAGAAAATTGGCATTGCTGCTCTAACACTGGGATGGGATACTGAAGATTTCTGTCGTGAGTCAGAATTTCAACTATGCAAGCTCCTTAATGACTGGCTTCTAAAGTGACTGACACATAGAAAAATGCTAAGACAACAGTGTAACATTATCGTCTCTCAGGCTCAAGTGCTTTCCAGCCTGAATGGGACAGGCCATAGAGTTAAGCAGCACAGTTGAGTATCAGTAAAGCCATCTCAAATATGCAAACACAGGTCTCCACCTTCCAATGTGTTGGAGACTTACACTCAGCTCAGTGCCCGGGGTTTGGGGGGCACTCGAGATGTTTTCTCTCAGTGTAATTTGTTTTAATGTTTTGTTTTGTTGTAATTGATTTACAGCTTTGTTTATTGCCCCTTTTTCCACTGAAGTTTGCTTGTTTGCGGGGGAGAGGAGATGGCCATCTTTGGGGATTTGTTCATCTGACACGCAATAGCAAAGTGATCATATTAATAATGTCAGGGTTTGGACGTCTGGCATTAATTGTGTTTGGGTTGCCTGAGTGCAGTGGCAGTGGGGGGTACCCCCTCTTTCTGCCTTTGGCCTGTTCTCACGGGTAAGGGACTCAAGTACCTGGGTCTCCAAGGGCCTGATTCTTGCCTCAAGCTACTGAGCTGTCCACCAGCATTGAGGAATTTACAGAGGGCATTGGAGTAAATCAGGAGCAAGTGAGAACAGAACCCGGCGCTCCTCCTATGTGAGCCTGGTTGGTCTGGCCTTTGCATGGCGCCGGCAGCGGGGAAGCGCGCAAAGTCCTTGTGTGAGAAACTCATCCCTCCAGGACTCTGCTCCTGGCACTGTAATGCTGCTGCTTCACCCCATGGCTCTTGGTGCCTAATGGGAGCAAAGCCCTGGGGAAATCACCATGATTGATATGCATTAGAAAGTGGACTCTGCTAGTTTAAACAAATATTGAGTCCTCAGCATTAATACCATTGCACAAAACTTGCCTGAATTTTGAGCGCTTCCAGAAGCAGGGCCAAAGCTTTCTAATACAAAATTAATTCCCAAAACATGGGGTGCAATTAGCCTGGCCGGAATACCCCATCGATGCCGTGCGTGCACAAAGAGCGTATTATTGCAGGGTCTGCCAGACAAGGGCCCATCCAGGGATTACTGCTGCCTGCTGTTCGACTTTTCCTGTTCTTGTCTGGGGAGGTGGGGGAATGTTTGGGCATTTCTCTTCCCCCCCATCTTGGTTTCAGCAGAACAATACTTTTAGGAAAGGGTGGTGGAGTTTTGGTCTATTTTTCTTCCCTTTTTTTCTTTTAAGACAGTTGTTTGAGGGCCTGTCAGCCAAGGCACTGAGTAGGGACAGGGGCGGCAGCCGGGTCAGCGGAATCATTGCTTCGAGGCATGAAATTTGGTTTGCTAAATATTTAAAGAAAGTTGGAGCCGGTTTTGTTTTCTCCCTTTCACTTGTAAATGGAAACTGAATTTTCAGTGATGGCTCTGATAAATACTGCACCCAGTTAAGCAATGCGGTTGGTTTTCTTTTGTGTCCATCTTTAAAGGGACAGAGTAGGGGTAAAAATCACATTCTTTAAGATCATTCCTCTCTTTTGAAACCCAGCCCCAGCGCTGGCACAAAGTAAATTGGTCATTTAAAAAGAAAAGGCAAATACATTTTCATGACAAGCTCTAGAATCCTGCAAAGGGAAAACCTGGACACATCAGATGACATTTCCCCCTGTACAATTTTTGTTTGTGCAGTTAGAGATGCGCTGTTTCTCTCCTTCCCCTGCACACAGGGTGCCACGGGGCTAGAGGCTGCCATCTGCATAGGAGAGTACTTGAATTTAAACAAAACCCTAAATGTAAAACTGAAGGAACTTTCCTTCAGCCCTGATGCTGTGTAGAATCGTAACTCATTCTACCCAATCCAAACACCGAGTCCAACCTGACCTTTCTCATGATGTCCTCCTCCTGCCAACACATTTTAATGTTCTTTTTCTTTTGGTTAGTCAGCGGCCAGGAGAGCAGGGACTTGTTGTGCCAACTGTCAGACAACCACCACAACCTTATGGCGACGTAATGCTAACGGGGACCCAGTTTGTAATGCCTGTGGACTCTACTATAAATTGCACAATGTGAGTATTTACTCATCTCATGTGTCGTTGCTTGCCTAGCTGGGATTGATGTCTTAACTGCATGATGTACTCCAGGCTTTTATTGGTTTCAGGGTTTTCGCTGTTGTTTTATTCCTTCCCCCGTCTCTAAGGTTCCCCTGGGAAGTGACAGCCTTTCTTTGTCAGCATAGTGATGCTAAGTTCAGTGACATTACAATGTATTAGCTTGGCTTCTAACGCTTGGGCAAAACAGAGCTACCACACTTGGTTTTAACTAAGCGTGGCTTATGTGCTGCTTCCCTCCAGAAACAGAGATCACATGGAATGGGCTCTGAGCAAAAAGTAATCCTGGTGGGGCATCTTCCTTTTGATTTTTATTTTTTTTTTCCTTTAAATAATTAAATCTAAGACTTGGTTTTAATATGTATATAATTAAAGAAATTAATCTTAAGCAGGAATCACTTGACATGTTGGAGCATTATTTAAACTGTAATAGAGGTTAGTGGTACAAGATTGCTCATGTTTTAGGACTGAATTTGGGTCAACGTGTGCCTCCTAGTTTGATCTCTTCTATAAGGAAATGAATGAGGACTGAGGGTAAGCCTACGGGAAAGAGAGCCATCAGCTGCCAAATGCACTTCAATTTGTTTTTCATGTCTAGAGGGTTTTTGTGTGTATGGTTTTATTAAACAAATCAAACAAATCAATATAAACAAGTTCTGCCGAGAGAAACACCTTTTTTTTTTTTTTTTTTTTTTGGCCAGAGAAAGGTCTCCATCCAGGAAAAACACATGGGGGCTGTCCAAATATTTTCATTTTTGCACAATAAGGTCATTTTGTCTGCATGAGCCTGATTTTCTCATTTCTTGCAGGTGAACAGGCCTCTGACCATGAAGAAGGAAGGAATTCAGACCAGGAATAGGAAAATGTCCAACAAATCAAAGAAAAGCAAGAAAGGCTCGGAGTGTTTTGAGGAACTGTCCAAGTGCATGCAGGAGAAATCCTCTCCCTTCAGCGCTGCTGCCCTTGCTAGTCACATGGCGCCCATGGGCCATTTGCCACCTTTCAGCCACTCTGGACACATCCTACCAACACCTACCCCCATCCACCCATCTTCCAGCATCTCATTTGGACATCCACACCCATCCAGCATGGTTACAGCCATGGGATAAAACCTGATGACCAAGAGACCCACCCAGAGATTGAAGAACATGGGGCTTTGCCTAACACGACACCAAGTAAGAAAATGTTCTGCCAAGAGGAGAATGTAGGGATGACAAAGGGGATCTTTGCTCCCATGTGGTTTAACTCTTAATGCTGGCCTAAAACCTTGCAAGTGATGTGTCTTCTGCAGAAACGTAGTGGTGCTTGTAATGCACTTTGCCCCCTCAGGTATAAGGAAAAAGAACTCACCTGTTCGATACTTCATGGTCCAGTGGGAAGCAAAAGGTGGCAGAAGCTGAAGGAAAAGGCTTGGAACTGGCTTTCCTTTCTCTCTTTGTCATTACTGTGAATATTGTAAAGAGATCTAAGCAGCCTCCCAGGATGGAATCGGCTCACTAGAAGCCAGACATGCTGGATTTCTATCGTGGACTTTCTTTGGAATGGGGAAAAAAAGAAGAAAAAAAAAAAGAGGACATCTTTATAAGCCGTAATTTTTAAAATGAAATCAGACACAAAGTCATATTTATTTTGCTCTTGTTTTCCACAAAAAGCCGCAGCCCCTCTGATTGCATGTTTTTGTGCTGTTGTTTGCAATGGCTACCCTGTAAGCAACCCTGCCTTTGAAACAAGGGGAGAGGGAGAACATACTCAGCAGCTCCTCGGGTTAGCTCCATCTATCTTCCATACTAAAATATCTACAGGAAGGGGAGAAAGATTTGAGGAAAACAAAGCAAAAATGTAGCCATAATACTGGATTTTAACGTGCTCAAGATGGTGATTATTTTAACATGATTTTGTTGTTCTTTTCCCTGACATGAAAGAGTTATTTAAAAAAACTCAACCCCTCTCCTAACTACCCTTTTAATCCTCAAACTAAACAGCTAGATTGGACAAACCATTGGGAAAGAGCTCTGGGGGAAGGCAATCCTGCACTAGCAAAGGGTGAGACACAGGCATTGCCCAAAGTGTCACAGCTAAATTCTAGAACAGCTAAAACCGTCACAGGGCATAAAGACATCCAACTCACAGACTTTCGAGGCTGAACCATTTTGTTCTGCTGTGTTGGCAGCTGTTGCTTAAGAATGCAGATGAGCTGCTTGGGTAAGCCTGGGGCAGTGTGGCCACCATGCCAGTCACCCACACGGGCACCTGGGCCCCGTGGACTTCACAGGGAGGAAGGGCAGAAATGAGGTTGAGATCACTGGAGGGGGGAAAGAGAGAGACAATCAGTTTGAGCTTCACGCACCCGTCAACCCCCAGCCCCTGAGACAGCTGATGGGACGAGGGAAGCGCTGCTCGAGGGGAGCAGCCGTTTCCCGCAGCGTATTTTATAGGAAAAACTAAAAAAAAAAAAAAAAAAAAAAAGGAAAAAAAAAAGATAAATTAAATTTAAATCTCCCATTATTAAACCATATTGTACGTAAATGACCGAAACCCAAGCTATTGCCAATGTGAAGTGTATTCTATTGATTGTTATGATCCGATGCCTCTTGTGAACACAAGCTCCAGTATAACATACAGTGTACATACTTAGCTATACTTCTGATGAAAGGCCCCGGCGAACAGAGGGGTTTGATGATGTAAACCACGTAAGCTTAACTCTGTGACAAGCTTTTTCTTTCTTCTTTTTGTTTTGTTTTTGTTTTTTTTTTAATTTTTAACTTTTTTGTTGGGGTTTTTTTTGGGTTTTGTTGGGTTTTTTTTTGGGTTTTTTTGGTTTTCTTTTTTTTTTGTTTTTGGATCAAGCCAATTGTATCTTTCCTGTGAAAGTCCTGCTTTAACAAAAAAACCCCAACGGAACGAATATGAACGGATGTACGTTAAGTTTTCTTTTCTAAACATGTAATTCCAATATTGATAGTGAATTAAGAACCAAGCAGCCAGGAAAATCCTGCTTTCTTCCTTTTTCTGGTCTGCATAGGCATATAGGTGCACTTTGTAAAGAAGTGGAAATAAGCAGAGAACTAAATTGGTTGGGAGAAATCGGAAGCATTTTTAATCTACTGAGGGAAAAAATTGGGTCCTTTTTACTTTTTAACCTTCTCCGATGGTACAGTTGGACATTATTTGTACCCAACTCAAATTCCTGTAGGCTTGGGGCAGGGGGTGGGGATGGGATGTGGGTGGAAGACAGGGATTACTGATACAGTTGACAAAGTGCAATATATTGTCAGTCACTGCAGCATAGACAACGGCAGTTGAGATTTAAATTATTTTGTACTTGTATCAGCATAAAAAAAAATCTTCAGTATTTTCTGTTTTTATTTTAATTTTTATTTTGCTTATTTTTGGATTAGTGAACTAAGTTATTGTTAATTATGTACAACATGTTTATATATTGTCTGTAAAAAGTGTATGCTTTCCTCATATTCCTTCCAGGTGAATATTGCTAAGAATAATAAAATACCTTTTTTGTGAAAGTACCTGTGCCCAGCTCCGTGTCATAAAGGCACCCTGGAATAGAGAGAGAGGGAAAATTATCCTGGCATTGTTGTTAGCAGAATTATTAGCTTCAACTCTTATGCAGAGCAGCCTATTTATATTTCAGAAACCTACCAGGGTAGGACAAAAAAGTAGTTGTGAATGATTTAGTATAAAAAGCACAGGTACAAAAGCTCATTCTCTGTTGTTTTGGGGTGATGGGGTCATGCAGTTAAATGCACTGAAGTTTCTAAACCAGTTTAAAATGTAAGGCAGCAGCCCGTGAACTGCAGCTTCTCAAGGGGGCTTGTTTTGTTGTTTTGGGTTGGTTTTTTAGTATTTGGAAAAATACTTCTCAATTAAAAGGAAGTTTTTAAAGCACCATAAATGCAGAAAAGCAGCCAGGTGGGGCTAAAGGCAGAGCCTGTATTAGACCAGGCACAGCTCTCTATGGGTTCTCGTGCTGCCATAACAGGCAACACCATCAGCCTTGAAACCTGTTTCTTACCATTTGGCACCATCACTGGTGTGAAGGGAGCAAGGGGGGGTTGGCCAGGCTGGAGCTGCTCTGTGCTGACCCAGGAACAAGGGGTGCAGCCATGGGTGCACATGTGGGTTGGCATGAGGATGAAGAAGGGTTCTTACCAGGCAGCTCTCCCATGGCCAAAACTTTGCAGCTGCTTTCATCACACAGTCGAGTGATCCACACAAGGAACTCCTTGGGGCCTTACAAAGTGAAGCAAAGTCTCGCAGAGTTCCCCACCATGTGCAGGGGTGAGCACTGCTGCTGCTAAAACAATATTTTCAAGAAAACTGCTAATGAACTTTGGGTTTCCTCCTTCGATGCACCCAGCAGTTGCATCTTACTTCTGTGGAAACCAACCTGGGGACAACCCCTTACTCAGTAACAGAAGAAATAACTCCAGTTCCTTTTTCAGTGTGTGTGCTCAAACTCCAGCTCTTTCTATGAGTGCTTCTCTTTAGCGTGCAGCCTCCTCCCCAGCCCTGCTCACAAATGACAAGGAGTTGCAGTGGCTCTACATGGGCTGAAGAAAGAACACGCAACTGGACAAGACCTTCCTGCACCATTTCAGACGAGTTAATCATCTCTCTAACTTGTTCAGCGAGGCTTAGAGCAAACACCCATTAAAAGAAAAAAAAAAAAAAAAAAAGAAAGAAAAAGGCAGTTTATAGCATACCATGCAAGCTTCATTTAAAAAGAAACATGTCCATTTTCAGACAGGTTTAAAATGGGGTTACAACTAAACTCAGGCACTTTTCCTCCATGTGTGAATATCTGAGACAAGTGGAGAACAGAACTAACAACATCTCTTTGAAATAATTCAGAATAATCAAGCTGGTTTGGCTGACATTACACCCCATTCAGCTCTGACGAGGACTCACCTCAGGGCTGCCTGTCCGCAGGCATTTGGCCGGGTAGGTCTGGTCCAGTTGCAGAATCAGGGCCATAGCCCATCAGCTTGTCCGGATGGGTGCTGCAGCCCCCAGTGCCCGGAGGAGGGTGCCTCCTCTGAGCTGGGTCTTTAGCAATTCCTGCCATAGAGATAATAAATAATCCCATGTTTGTCAGGTGGCACTAATCTGTGAAAGATCAAACCATCCCTCTGCAGTGTGTGCATCATGTTTGTCTCCAGACGTTTTGCATAGCAGAAGAAAAACAAACAGCAGGGAATGGAAATGGAGCAAGTGTGTAAAGTTCAGTGTAAAGTGTAAGCACAGAGCAGATATTGAGGCAACAAACTGGGATTTACGGTGCTTTCACTACCACCAAACACTGGGGGACAGGCTTTGTGTGAGGGGGGAACCCTGACATTACTTGCCTTTGGTTCCCGTTGTTGGGATTATTGTTTTAAGCCGTGCTTAATTGTCATGTCTCCACGGCCACATCAAAAGCCAAGAAGATTAGGTTACAGGGAGTGTTTGATCTCAAAATACAAAATAAATAAAAGGAAAGCTGAAAAGGTACCATATTTTCCATGATGTCTAGTGAGGAGTTTGCCTCAAATGGGTCTTTTTTTTAATGTATTTTGCAAAGTTGCACTTTTAGTGTCAAGATTTCATTTACTTACTTCCAAAGGACTCCACTGCTTCCCTGCAACAGCTTGAAAGGGTTAATATCCCCTCTTTGATGGCAAACATGGTATAATTAACGCAAACTTCTTAAGTATCCTGGTGACCTGTAGATGGCCACATGAGAATTTTGTTATTTACTGACTTGCCAAACGTTTATTGCTTATAGCAGGACAAGTGGGAAGCAGACATTAATTTTGATGCTGTTATCTGTGATTGCGTGTAGAGTTCATAGCAGAGAGTGCCTATATGTCAACTGCAATTAAACATTTCCCTGGGTTTTTTAATGAATTTCACGTTGGTGGAGGGGGTTGGGACTGAAAACTTTGCAAACTGAAATCCTGCCCATCCGCAGAGCAGGCATGACACAGCCAGACACGGGACAACTTCCCCTTACCTGCAGGCTGCAAAAGAAAACAGTCTGGCGCCATGGAGCATTTGATCCTTGGCTTCTCCACAGAGACAGTCAAATCAGTACCAACTGTGGCAGGGCACAGAGGGAGGTTTTGTGGTGTGACATCTCTCATTGGAAACCAGCCTGAAAAACACCAAAAATGAAGCCAAAGTGGCTATCAGGTGAATATGTTCATTTATCACCAACCTGGACTGGATTAGATTGTGTGACCTAGAAGTAAAAGCTTTGTTTAGCCCAAGTCCCTGGGCCATCTGGTCCTTGCAAGTAAACATTTCTAAGCGAGATTAAGTGACTGTTCTTTGAGCATGGTGATAGGAATGCAAGCCAGGTTGCTCTGGATCTAGCAGATCAAACCTCAGCATCAGGGCAGTGGCTGGTGCCGATTCAGAGACACCATTTGCTTGAACAGCTTTGGGTGTAATTCCCTGTAGTGCTGGCATTGCAGTCAATCCTGATTCAGTCTGATGGATTCAGAAGCCATCCTAAACCCCGGGCTCAGATGGCACCAAGGTGCTGCTGGAAGGTTGAGGGCCCCATCAGAGAAGCTTACAGGAGAGGCTGCAGTAAGAACCACACTGCATTTGCAGTAAGAACTAAGTTGCATTTCTGAGGACTAA